AAATAACGACAAATCTCCTTTCTTATAGAGATACGAAAACATGTGTCATAATCTCAGACAACGATAATATATTATAATTATTTAACGATCTACTTACAATATCAGAAAATACTTTTACTGTTGCAAACAACCACTCCAACCTCTCAACTTTGAGGAATAGGACTGAAACGTTGGTATCACTCATTTACCCAACAAATCAATTTTGCATGGTGTATTAATAAACAGAAACGTTTATGGTGCCATTTCAGTGCGATGCAAACGCAGCAACAGAATGTTCGGTCAATTGCTATCGATTTACTGAATCACGATTAGTACCATCAACAAAAATATTGATTTTCTGAACCTGTGAATCAGTCGTGTGATTCTCTGTTCAAAGTATGGAGGAGGACCATAATTTGCAGAAAAATCGCGCCGTTTCTTCTGATCTTGCGCAACGCTCTTGATATGAATAATTTTCAATATTGTGATCTGGGCGGCATGGTCCCAGTTTTACGTGGACAAAAAGCGTTTTCGAACCATTTTTTTCAAACAGGCTCTGTTTCTTTTCGCCATTTTTGCTCTTCTATGCCTCTGGCGAAGAAAGTTGCAAGGCAAGCAGTTAAAAATACGCAACTATTGGTGTAAGATCATTCTGGAGATTCCCAATATTCATCTGTTGTACAATAATTAGAACGCTTCAATGGATTTGTGGACTGCTTTCCTGATGGGCAAACTTTCGCATTTACAGCTGGCAACCAATCAGATCCACAATTTGACAAGTATCGATTGGCGTAATGTCTGATGCTGCCGCTCTGAACGCCAGTCCTGATATTTGCAGACAGCAACCACATTCGTTCGAGATAGAGCCAAGGTGGTGGAACAAGTGTAAAGTGACTTACAACATCTAAAAGCCGTTTATGGTAATAAGCAAACAACTCTCACGGAATTAAGATTCAAATAAGAGAATTTAGCAATATTTTAAAAATCACACAATATCCAAGTTGCCATCCACAGAATAAAACTTACTATGCATAAGCAACAACGCTTGTTTTACATCAGAGAAAAATAACTCCATGAATTCCCCATGGTGATGCAAAAAAATTTAATGAGGATTTCATTTAATCGTTTCCGTGCGGGTGAGTGTGTGGGAGAAAGGACATCTGTGTAAAAGGTGATTGTTTAAATTCGCTGACTGGCTACATTTCAGGCAATTTATTTCAATTATGGGTATCGCCTAGTGCTCAGAAAAGCTCTAAAAGTACATGGATATATGACAAGTGCAGTTTTTAAGCGTGACCGTTAAATTACATTCCCAACACTCTACAATGACTATTCCAAGGCACCATACTGTTCAAAAAATCATCTATCTGGTATCTGTTTGTTAGAGCAAAAATTCCTTATTCAAAAAAATTAGCAAGTTAATATAAAACAATAAACTAAATGAACATTTTTTGCATCACTTGAAGAAATTCATTTACAATAATTTCCAATAAATAAATTTTTTATAAAATTAAATTCGAATCACTCAGGAGCTTCAGGTAACTCATTTATTTTCAACCGCAAGATTCC